ATTATTGAGATTGGTCAATGTTTCAAAAAGATAACATAAATTTAAAAAATGTTAGTTTCAATATCTTTAGAACTATATGATAAAATTACATATGAATAAACATAACAATTAATAATGATTGACTGAAATTTTTATTTGAACAAATATCATCGTCTATGTAGAAGTGTATGTCGAAGAATTGAGCAACGGCTCAGATTTTTCGATGCATTTAATGAAATCATTTTTCTTAATTTTAAGCAACTTTGAAATAAAAAAAAAGAGAAAAAATGGCAGTAGAGAATTTAAAAACAAGGAATCTGATTTAAGACCCCCCCCCCCCCTCAAAAATCGATCTCAACCCAGGAACATCCAAATTAGATGAAACTTTCAGAGTATGTTGGGAGTAGAAAGGGGAGACTACCGTAAAATTTTCCGTCCGAAATCTTCAGGTTTCAGGGAGATATGAGCCAAACAAGGGTCAAAAATGACTCATTTGGCATCCCAAATTTCTCGCTCCTGGTTCGTTCAATATATTAATATTGTTTTTTTTTGTTGGAAAAAGCATCCCAAGACGCAGGGCACACGGAAGCCGCTTTTTTGAAATAGTCCTTTTTTTAAGCGCAAAAAAGTGATCAAAAGTTCAATGACTGAAAAAAGTGTCAAAAAAATGGTAACCAAATCATATAACTGGCTGTATATTGATCAAGCAAAGGCTTAATTTAAAAAAGCGGCTTCCGTGTGCCCTGCGCCTTGAGATGCTCTTTCAAACAAACAAAAAATATTAATATATTGAACGAACCAGGAAGGAGAAATTTGGGATACATTTTTGAGAAAGCGGAAACTGAGAAAAAACGAAAAACATTTTTTGATTTTTCAAAAAAACAGCTGGTTTTTCGAATAGGGGTTGACGGAAATCTTTAAAATTTTTTGAGAAAAATGAAGTAACGAGAAAAAAAATTTATCGTGTATGAAAGAGCAGATGACGGGCTATCTCCCCATATATTTATCTCAATTTCTGAATTTTTGACGAAAATTGACTTTTTTGAGGAGGGGGGGGGGCCTTAAGACATCAAAAATTTTTTTAAATCAAATATCTGTTTTTGTTGCCGTGGCAGCGAAACCGAGCTTTGATATTCTCAATGAAATTTTCAAATCCGAATTTGATAGTTGACCCGAATATACGAGATACTTTTTTCTGTTTCCCTCGTATTTGTTGACTATTGTACCCTACATATTTGTCAAAGAACTAGAGTCCATTGAGTCCAAAAGGCAACTGTAAGGTTTGACTTCAGAACCAAATAGTTTACTTTCATAACTCATATCACTCTTCTTTATAGTCAAGTGATGATATGATTTATAATAAGATAGAAAAAACATTTTATCTTTTTCTCTTGATCCTACTTGAAACAGTATTTATAGTTTCAATTTTGATCTTCTAAAATATTCATTTCAAATATACAGAATCATAGATATTCTGTTGCTCTACAAAAGTATATGTAGAATGACCTTGTACGATTTGACTTATAGAACTTATTCCTACTTTATTGAGGTGTGGCCATATAGATATCATTCTTTTTTTAGCACAAAGAGACGTCGGTCCTATAGAATGGTCGTTCATAGTATGCTGTTAGAATAAGATTTAATAAGTAAATGAACTGTCGATTTATTCCAAACTATCATCTGGTACAAATGTATAAACAGAATAAAGATTCTCGCTAACATTCTAGAATTGTATGAAGTTTTCAAAGACGTTGAAGAAGCATTCTCCACTTCTTTAGTTGCTATGTTGAAGATCAAATAACGCTTTTGTAACATCACCGAAAAATCTATGACATTCTAGAGTGTTTACGAGAATCTTTACTGTGTTTATATATACAGCATGATCACGTTATTTTTGATAGTTTTTCTCAACTTGCTGTATTTTTGAAAAACCTCGGAAGTTTAGTGTCTCGATATGGTTGAATAGAGCATTAATTACTCTATCGAACTATATAGTTTCTATTTTATTTCTTTTGCACCTTGACTAAAAATTTGATAAACTTGAAAAAGAAGTTGAATAAAGATTTTTGCTCGTAGCACTTTTGAGATCATTTCTCAGTTATTTTTTCCAGTAACTACTAGTTACTTCACTACTGAAACTTTTTGTTTTCATATAAATGAATAGAGTATTCGTTTCTCTATCACGCTGTATAATTTTTATTGAACTTATTCTTTATCTTTCAAAACTTTACTGAATACTTAGTCAGAATGAAGGATAAATCAACACAAAACATACAGAGTTCGATAGAGAAATGAATGCTCTATCTTAAATAAAGGATGTTCGCTCTCTCTATAGTTTAATTGTATAGTTGGAATTTTTTACTCCAACTTATTATAAGCCACATGATAACTTCAATATAAAGAAGAATGATATGAATTATGAAAGTAAAACGTGGGCTCTCGAACAGTATACTTTTGATTTAGTTCTACCAAAGAGTTTTTATTGTTTTACGCAGAAATTGAAAATACATTATAATGTCCTTGTCTTATAATAAAATGCAAGGAAAAACACTTACTTTTTCACCTTCTCTATATATTCTGTCAAAGAGCTGTGGTATACGCATTCATTTTCCAATATTGAAGAAAGACTTTACTCTAACACCAACCAAGTCCGGTTGCCATCATAAAGTATATTTTCATTGCAACTAATTCAAAACGAACAGTGACTATATTATCTATGTTCACTTGATTGAACTCTAATTATACTTAAAATATGATAACATAAAAAATAAAAATTATAGTTTTTACATTCTCTTTAAATATTTTTTTTTTGTTCAGTTATAACTTGACGAATCAATTCATTCAAAGAAACATCGTTCTATATAAATATTTTCAAACTGCAATTATTATTTTTCTATTTTATTACAACAATAATAATCGTATAAACTTATCATAATTATAAAAGTTTTACATCGAACAATTTTTTTTTAAATATTATTTGAATGATCTCCAAAGAAACAAAATGATATAAAAGGTCAACAGATAAGGAACATACAAAAAAATAACTAAGATGCAATAAAAAACCAATCCTTTTTCATCATGATATTTATCATATCACACCGTCAATAATGACTCTTATCGTAACAACATGTGCCTCATGTATATAGTGAGACATGTGATTCATATTGTATAACATCAGTTGAATAAAATAGGTAAACGAAAAATCAAACGAAAAAATGTAATATACATATTTGCGTATAAACATATATATGCTTTAATAATCGTTTCATTCAAAATGGGCCTATTGAAACAAGAACAAAAGCGATTATGTTAAAAATTACATAGAACACATGATCTCACACAATGTTTATATTCATTGTTAGTAGTAAGTATTTTAATATTAGACGTTTTTTTTTTTAAAGAACGAAATAGAATGTTATAATGATATTATTTCATATTGAGTCAATTTTGAAAACAAATCAAATCAATACTTGTTCCTTGTTTTTGTGTATTATTTTGTAAATACGAAATTCAATGTATTCTTACGAGTGTTATACTATTAATAGTTCATTTTTAAATCAATCTAAAATATATATATTTCAAATCATACATATTTAAGAGAAAATATTTTTAAGTGTCAACGTGTTTTCTTAAGCTTATTGTCTAGGAAAACTGAGTTTTGAATTTTGATTTGAAACTTTGCATAGAGATAGATTTATCAGTCATATTCACAAACGAAAAAAAAAAATGACGATTGTCTAAAGATGATGAAGCAATGTCCAACTAACATGATAAACAAATATAATCAGACGAATGACAAGCACACATTTTTAGCCTTCATAAAAATAATAAAATGATTTATGATATACGAAAAAATTCATTCGTCAGTTTATTTTATAGATTGATAAATATCTACATGTTTATTTTAGGTATTTAGAAATTTCTACGAATGGCTTCTACTTCGTCATCTTCTTCTTCTTCTTCTCTTGTACAATCACAAGTAAACACAAATATTCAATTTTCTATTTGGCATACATTTAAACATCATATTCCACGTTTTCTTACAACAATTCTTATTGATATTATTCTTCCACTTGTTATTTATTTTCTTCTTCAAAAATATATAGAACCTGTTTATGCACTATTAGTTGCTGGTACTCCACCATTATTTATGGTTATTTTTAAAGCTATTTCATCTCGAACATTTGATGCACTTGGTTTTCTTGTTTTTATTGGTTTTATTATATCAGGTGTTGTAGCTCTTACAACACATCAAGCAGTTGTACTTCTATTAGAAAAATCTCTTGTTAGTGGTATTGTTTCAATTATTTTTGCTATAACATTAATTCCATTTCATTGTTGTCTTCATTATTGTCGTGTACGTCCACTTGCTTATTATTTTTATCAAGATTTAGTTCCAACAGGTCGAGAACAAGTTGGATTACCTGAAAATTTATTTACTAATAATAATAATAATAATCAAGAATCAATTCATGAACAATATTCAGAAGATGAAAATGAAGTTCTTATACGTAAATCATCTAATAAACAAGAAGTAGCACAAGTATATGAATGGATATATACAAATTGTTCATCGTTTCGTACTTCATGTTATGTAATAACAAGTATTTGGGCAATAGGATTACTTTCGGAATTTCTTACTCGATTAACTCTCATTCTAATTCATTTATCAGTTAATAAAATAGTTATTTATGGAAATGTAGTACTTAGTTCGGTAACAGTAATATGTATTTTAATAACAATTATTTGTGTAACTAGAGAACGAAAACAAACAATTATATTAATTGAACAATGGAAACAAGAACATTTAAATATACAATAATTAAGTAGTTGATATATTTATTAATAATAAAATAAAGAAACTTGTAGAAAAATTTTTTCGATAAATTTAAAATAATAAAAATATATCTGTATTCTCGCTTTTGCACAATAAGAATTAAAAAAAAAAATAAAAAACTTCTTCAGTAAATTTGCATTCATGTACAATCATTTGATACCTAAACGATGCGTACACGCATAATAATAGCACATAATTAAATAGAAAAATATCGTTGATACATGTTTAAAGTTCTACTCGCAAAATTCAATCTTCGATCAAATAAATTGAAATTATATGAAATTTTTAGGATATATTAAGGCTGTAGCGGAGAGAGTATGATAAATTTCTCGATCCTATACCATGACGTGTTTAGGAGATATTCAACAAAACAAGGTTAAAAATCACTCATTTGATAAACTAAAATTCTCTGTGGGCCTTCGTTTTGCATACTTAACTTTTTTTGCTTGAGAGAACATGTCAAGATGTAAG